AACAGTGAAGTTCGAGGTGTACTGAGTTCAACCTCGAAACGATGAGCAGCCACAGTCCGTCGCGTATTTCTGATATGTACCGATCTTGGTGGAATCAAATGCCAAGTCACTTGAACACATCCTGTGAAAGTATATATAGAAGAGAGACAAATCTCCAACCTTTTTTCGATGTTCCAGATCTAGACCAGGGGTCTCCAAACTTTGAATCCTTCGGGCCATAATGATTTTTTCAGTTTGTTCCAAGGGCCAATTTCTGCCCCTAAGTATATTTCTAGACTAGGATAGTCGCAAAGTGCGTGACCCAAGCAAACTTACGCTTTTTTTGCATTTTAATTATTATTGTGTATTGTGACACTTAACGACATCTAGTGGCGAGTAGTGGTACTATGTACTATCTTTTTCAGCTACCCGCTAGATGGCATTAGGCGTAATTAAATATTTGGAATTACCGCGTTGGAAACCTTCCCAACCTCTCTTCTGTGGTGAGAGCGTGAGACTTGAAAGTTGCCAACACCAACTCTTCGCCCTGTTCAAGTGTTTCTCACTATATTTAAGTAGATGTGGCTACGCACAAATATAGCTAATTGGGATTTCGCACATAAGTCACAATATTATTTCCCAATATAACTTGTGTTTATTAAATATTTAACTCGACATTGAAATTTTTGTTTTTGGTTAGGAGGTCTTTTCTGATCTTGTTTATATTTCTGGCGCCCCAAAAGTAGCACCGGGGCCTGTGCCTCTCCTGCCCCTACTGGATCCGGCCCTGCTTGGAGAGATGGATAATTTCGAACTAGAAGATTTCATATCGCGTGAACCCATCCAATGCATGTACCTACTACTTGTTTTTCATTTCAAAAAAACTATCATGAAATTATTTGAATAACGCTCGAGAAGAAAGATACGTTCTTTCACAGGTATCTTTTAATAAAATACAATGATTTCAAATGGTTTTTATATGCATCTTCTTGTGAAAAAAATCAGCTTTGATGAATGTGTCACCAATATCCGACCAGAAAAATAAACTACTGTTTGTACATAAATTGAGATATTCGTAAAATTGCATTGAGTCATACTTAGCAAATATGTACCGCCTATCAATTACTATCCATTTTCTAATTTAGATCCTTCTATCCAGTTTCAAACAGAGATCTGTATGACGTGGAGTCGTCACATACTTTTAGCGCCACAGTTAGTCATTAAACGAAATATTGTTACATAAAATAATGATTCATAAATACAAAAGAAATAAGAGCAACAAAGATTTCATAAAATGATCAAATTTATTCGCATAAAACGATTTGAGAGTGGTGTAATGAACAATATTTCCATACAGTTTATGGTAATTTCGTGAATGGAGTCGCTATCGCCACTGCTGAGTACAGGGCTGATCTTGTTGAAGTCAGAAGAGGTCAAACTTTTCATCTACACATCATCTACGGTTTTGGACTCTGGTGTAACCTAGTTGCTCAGTAGCGGTAAAAACTGCATGAAGAGGCAGAAAGCAAGTTCTCATTCGATGGTCGACGTCGAAGCTAGGGGAAGTATCAACACAGAAGATGGTGTAGGCATAGCTAAAGTCGTGGCTATAGTATTTCTAGAATGTCTATAATATAAATTACTACATAGTTGATAACAAAGACGATTCCCTCTATCTTTAAAACTACCCTACGGATGTTAATGCGGGTTTTTCAATAGATAGAGTGATTCAAAAGGAAGCTTTATATGTACATAACATGCATAATAAATAAAGTAGAAAAACACTGATATTTCAGAGATTCAAAATGTAATGTCGTAAACGAACACATTTTTTGCGCTGGCTGAACCCAACGAGATAGATCAAAATAATGTACTACAATATTGTACACCTTAAAGTGGTCTACATAAAAGTCGATTTTATGTGTTTATTTCTTAGGGTTAACCTACAATGGCTTATTTACGAAGCGATTTTAAGCAATACAGCATCAATCATTATCCAATTAAGTACCTTATATACATTGTGTATTTCATATAGATCAATATGGCCCTTTACAGCATGCAGTTCAAAATGCAGGGACATAGCGGTTGCGGCGGTACCAGGGGGCCGGCGGGGCGTGTCTATAAATAGCATAAATAGTCGAAAGCCGCGCTTCGCTCAATGTCATTTTATGATTAGAAGCGATCGCACGCGTTTATTGGAGCTTTCTAGCGAGAAAAATAGTATATTTAGTATCAACATTGCACCCGTGCGGAGTCGGGGCGGTTCGCTAATGTCATCGTGTCCCACTTTTTACACCCATCAATTCGATTTTGGAGCACCTTCGATTTTCAGAACTGAGTAGGAGAATATCTTCAAGAAATTTGATCTAGTAGACATGGTTGACGATAAAAAAAGAATTTTGTTTTAAATATCCGAGGATATGAGCTCAAAGTATTGAACGATAATTCTAATCTAAGAGCCACCGGAAGACAACTGTTTCAGCCTATTGGGCATCGTCAGTACCGGGCAGGCGGTCCTGCCCGGAAAAAACGAATCAACATGTTTCTAGAAATCATATGAAATCGAGAAAGGTTAATGCAGTCAAGCTGCTGGAAAATAATTCCATGAAAATCAAAAGATAAATAAATAAGTTATATTCTGATCATTCCCATATTGACTTCAATGTAAGAGCCACCGCTAGACAGCTGTTTTAGCCTATTGGGCATCGTCAGTACCGGGCAGGCGGTCCTCGATTGAAGACAAAATGAAACCCAGAAAAGTACTCAATAGAAATAACTGCGTAAACGCAAGCGAGACATAAGTGGAACCACCTATTGGTGTGACACCCAAGTCAACTTGCCAAGTTGACTTTTGACTTTTTGATAAAATTATTTTTTTTTAATGGAATACCCTATATTTTATTATACATTTCGATTCGTAATAACATTCTCAACAGTAAAGCTCATATCACTTTTTTTCCTAAAGTTGAAAATGAGCCACTTATATGAAATATTCATTTCTTTCACTAGTACAAAAATATTCTTTGTTTTGGCGAATAGAGAGCTATAAAATATCTAGTAAATATTCAAAAACTCCACCTTCTTGTTGAACACATATTTGGACCCTTCTCTTGACACTACGTGTTGCTATCAACACAATTCGGCCATCAATTCTATTAATTATAGTTTCTATATGAATTTTCAGTTCATCTCATTATTATGTTTTATTTGGTACACCTCATTTTTCAGAAATCCCCAGAAAGGAAAATCTAGAGGTGTCTTGTCTGGTGAACGAGGAGGCCACTTAACAACACTTCTAAAACAGTTTCGCAACATTTTTTACGCCACTTATAATATGTGCTGGTGCTCTATCCTGCTGAAAATAGATAATCTGATGAGTCTTCAGATCAAGATCATCGAAAAACTGTACCAACACTCTTGTAAATAAATCAATATAACGGAGTCCTTTCAAAGAACAATGGTAAAAAAATTAACCGATAATTCTGCCTCTGAATAGATCACACCAAACATTGATACTAAATCGTCCATGCGGATTGTGGGGATGGACTAGAAATGGATTATGTCTACTCCAATAATGGAAATTCTTTCTATTATACATCCAACAATTTGAAAAATCATCCTAATCACTCTAAATAATACTTCTATAGAAGTTTGGAACTTTTCTGCATTTATTCATAAACCACCGACAAACCCCAGTCGTCTCTCAGGGTCACCAAGTTCTAGTGTTAGCAGTGGTCTTAACTTATAAGGAGGAATCTTATGTTTCTTCAGAATTCGTCGAATAACAGACGGTGGAACAACTACTTCTCTAGATAAATCTCTTATGGGGTTATTTCGAATTACCTCAAAGTAGGCTAAAACGTCAATTTCTGTATTTTCAGATATTACAAAACGTGTTTTAGTTCTCCTTTTCTCAAAACCTTTTTCATTGTTCCTGAATCGACGATTAGATAATTAATGATCGGGGAACGAATTGCTGTAGTGTTGGAGTGCTCTTACGCTATTTTTCTGGCAAACCAAACGATTCTAACATACCACATTCTTTATGTGAAAACGGTATTCCAAAAAATATTTGAATATGACATTTTCATGACATTGTCATGATATACTTGAGAATATTTGACTAGTATTTCAACAAGGTTTTAAGGCAATAATAATTCTGTTTTATCGATTCAAACACATTTTTTCCAACCGCATTTATATGACGCTCCAATATTTTCTGTTATGTACAAAAACGGCTTCAATATTATCATTATAGCAGACATATTTTGATTCACAAAATAAATACTGCTAGTGAAATGGCTTTGAGATGGAAATTATCGTTTTGTAAATTAATACCAGATAGCTCAGTGGTGAGTACGACATGATGATCATGGGTTTCACGGGTTCAAATCATAGGGCAATTCTTTCTTTTTGCTGTTAGCAACAAAATATTGTCGATCGTATCAGTTCCAAACTTGGGTGTTTGTACAATCATGAGGTTTTATTTGCCAAAACAAAGAAATTTTTTGTAATAGTGAAATCAATAAATATTTCCTGATGAGTCGCTCATTTTCAACTTTGGGAAGAAAGGTGATATAAACAAGAGAATGTTATTACAAATCGAAATGCATGATAAAATATAGGGTGTTCTATTTGAAAAATGATCATTTCGTGAAATATTCTGAAAACACGACTGTAATTTTTTTTTGTTTTCGGCAAAGAGAAGACCATAGATAATGCTACTAGTCTGCACATTCAACCGTATTCGTAACATCAATAATAACGGAGTTGGCAATGGTGCCGACTTGATTTGAAACACCCCCTTTAAATCTATTTGAAGAATGTATAGTTTCAGACAGTTCATGTCATCTATCAGTTTTCAATTTTCTGAATTCACTCCCATTTTGTATCAATGCCAACATTATCTACTGATAAGACCACCATCATAAAATGTACCCATTCACAACCTTAGAAACTTAAAAGAAAAGTACATGATTGATGTGGGAATTGATTATTTTATATCCTTCCTTTTGTTTCAGATTTATCCTATCAATACAATCCTGCACAGATGTGAAAATACTGGATGCTGCGGGAAGTTCAACGAAAGATGCAAAGCTATGAATGATGATGATGTTGATTTGACTTTTATGAGTGTTCGTAGTAGTTCAGTTGAGTTCTACCACATATCTGCCACAAATCACACGTTGTGCGGGTGTCAAAAAATTAGCGAAAACGATATTAAATAATTATAGACTGTTATTAATTATGTGATAATGCTCAAAATGTGATATTATTAATTAATTATTTATTGATATTTTATTCTCTAGACTGTGTTTGTAAGTGAGGTAGAAATAAATGTGAAAATATTTGTCTTGGAATCTTCATTCATGATTATGCAGACATGGGAACTCAGAGTCGAAATTTAGGACCTTGGCTATTCTTGATATACATTGCCAAAATTGTTGCAAACGCATCAAGACATCACGTCAGTTCTAATTACTGCCTCCAAAGAGCTTATAAGATAATGACGAACATAGTTGTCTGATTGTCTGGTCCAATCCTCCTGGGGGTTGATCAATGATTTCTATTAATTTCTTATAATTCTTATTTCTTACTGAAAAGAATGAATAGTTTTTTTTTGCGTACATTCATGGATGTGTCCATATCTTGGTCTATGAAGCTCTTACAGAAGATATGTCACTCAATAAGATAAAAAAATTAAAATTGAAATTAAAATCGATATCTGTTATACAAAGATATACACATTCGTCAACTTACATATACATATGCCGTAGTTATCAATATTTAAAATAAGATGAAATCAGCAATTAGAACACTGAAACTGAAGCATTAAACAAAAATTAAAACATTATAAGCAAACAAAAATTAAAGTATCCTATAAATATTCCTTATGGCTGTCGTAACATTTGTCCAATAATAAGTTTTCAACTTTCTTACTGAACATATTTCCAGAATTTAAATTGATAGAAAGTGGCAGTCTGTTATAAAAATTGATGGAGTTATAATAGAATTTTTTTGAAACGGTCAATCTTATGCGAATGAACCCTCGGAACAGTAGCATGGCGAGTATCCCGACCGTGAATGCTCAAGTTTGTTATGTACAAGTCAAGATTACTATTGATATTGTTATATTCCTTATTCATATTTTCCTCATTTCTTTATATGCATTCCAATCTGCTATGACTTTGGTTTTCTAGAATTCAGAGGATGCTTTGCGTTTCATCATTATCAGTTTGTCAGTTATCCATGGAACATGGATAAAAGCATTAAGGATTTCTTCTACGTTATCTAAAATATTATGCCACGGCATATTCAAAATATATTCACGAAAGTTTTCTTAATCAAATTTTTATAATCTCTATAAGTAAAAATGTTTTTTTTGGTTTTGGGCTCTCATAGATCAATTCAGAGTACATTAATCTCATCGTTATGTTCTATGAAATTATCAACAATCAACCCAGGATCGCTAATTGCTATGATGTCAATTGTTCACCCTGGGTGGCGAACTAACTGTTCATCACAGTGACAATGGAGGCATAAAAAAATCGAAGAAATCAGACGTTTGAAGTATTGAATAAATTGATATCGATATACTCTGCCAGTATGATTTTATCCACGCATGGTATTGCTAACGAAATAGCACCATTGAGAGCTTCAATGCAATAAGCTTCCCTTGTATTAGGTGGACGATGATTCCCCTACCTGGAATCGCTAATTTCAGAACCTTTCCATGATTGATCCAGGACGGTAGTATTTTTATTTATTGGTATTATCAAAATGATGATATTTGATTAATAATATATAGCTACCCTCCTCATCTCGATCTTGCCTTGTTATATGGTAGCCACCAATATTCATCAGGTTCGAAGCTGTGTGCAGCTATGTTTCTTTGACTACGATAATCTCAAAATTGTGTTTGAGAATTGTGTATACGGTGCATTTCTTCAATGCCCCCCTTTTATTTTTTGAACGGGTCAACTCAAGAAATTGAAATTTGGGATAATGAAATTGCATGAATACCTTATAGTCTAATCAACAAGTTCAAAAACATGAAAAATAGAGATAAAGGTCCTAAAAATATGTGCGATAGCTCATTCGATTCAGAAACACCTCTAGAAAAATGTTTTTGGAGGATTTTGGTGCAGGTNAAGTGTATTAACCATATATTCTCTTTCAGGAAAACTGCGACTCACTTTCAAATCGCATTCTCTCAGCTTCACTGAGAAACGCCCGTCAATCACAATTATGGCCGCCGTTAGTTTTGGGGGCCCCCATGCAAAAATTCAGTTAGGAATACCGCGACAAACAAGAGCCAAATAAAAACTTTAAACGAGAAGTTAGATAGGGAAATAAAAGCACCTAAAGGCTGGTTTCAACCAAAAGAGGTTAGATATCAATCTTGCTAAAGTGCCAGCAGCTGTATTGAGGACCGTTTCCTTAAGAAACGGGGGTGGAAGGAAAGGGTCGCCAGGTCCAAACCTGCGGAAGCGATTCCGTAAGGAGGAAGCTTGCGGCCTGGGCACACAACCCGGGAGGAGCATGGGGGGGGCATTTCCAATTATGCAATATCATTGACTTTAGGTCGATGATGGCCACTATCTTGCAATGTTGAGTGGCTAATGGGCCCGAAACCGGTCTGCAAGTGTGCCCGTTCCAAAATTGAAGGTCGACTCTTTCAGTTGCATTGCCAATTGCATATGCAGGAAGTTTTCTGTGAAGATTCCTGCATATGTCGGATATAATCCAACGCCCTTCCTGGTATTAGCCAGGTGAGTAGTTTTCTGATAGGCTTCACTTCATTTAACCTACTGTGTAGGTATATTCGAGACTGGCTTGAACGTTCAAAGTTCATTTCTTTAGATTTGTTCAGGATTTACTATCATCTCACCAAATATTGGTACTTTCTGTTCTTCCGGAATGGACGGATGAACTGGGGACTTTCTGTTATGTATACGTTATGTTATGTTACGTGTCGCACTGTAAATAAAAATTGCTTCAATTTTTTCTCCTTATGGACGACAATTGACCATTTTAGAGATTATTGACGTGGTACCTTTCTACAAGTAAAACCGAAAACTAATTGCGAATATTAAAAAAATCTGTTTGAAAAATCTGTTTTACCGTTAACCAGCTGTCGCACCCCTTCGAACGACAACTTTAGAAGTCGAAACTTGTGCGAGCTAAGGATTAACGAGGTCTTACCTCTCAACGTGTGATTCCTAATACGGTATATTGTAACTGAACAATGATGTTCATTATTGTACTGACATGTTTTGTCGTTTGTATAAACAAAAAGTAACTCGGGGTTGTTGGAATTGCCATATGGCAGATAAAAAGGAATATTCCTAGAAATATCTTCAGGAAATTATTAAATGTTTCGCCATTTTGTAGTAGGTGAAGAAATTTAAATGTTCATATTCTAGGGTTGTGAAGTATTCATCAGGAGCTTCAAAGTGATGTGTCACAAGACCCCCCTTTCCATTTAATTTTTTATTCTGACGATGTCATTGCTCCCGATATACCTTGAAAATATAATTATCGTCTGTATTGCATTTGATCATTGCGTGGTATGTAAAACACTCAGAATCTTGGGAAATTAATGCGACATTGTTTTTTCGATGAATCACTTCTAGAATTCCCAACTTTCGATTTGGTAGTGACTTCAGTAAATCACAGTTTAACACCTATTTGGTGACATCATATATTTGTCGTAACAACAAGCTTCTTGGGAGAAAAAGCTTTTCTTTCAGATGAGAATTGGAGAAAAAAACCTTCTAGAAACAAATATCTTCACATGAACATTGAGACAAGAAAATTCCTTTCCGAAACAACTACTTTCAAATGAATATTGAATAAACGAAAATACATTTTTCCAATTCATTTTGTACTATATTGATTCCTTACAGAATTGAAGCCGATATCATTCATAGGATTAGTACACAATTTGGTATGATGACTTCCCAGATATTTTAAATTTCATTCCTTCTAAGCAGTCGTAGAATATCTTCACATATAACGCTAGTACTTTTCAGAAATCCATATTTTCTCCAAACCTTCTACATAAAAGATCTATTGTAAACTATCGACAATCGAATATACTGGTTTGCTGTTCTGCCCATGCAAATCTTATCAAAAAGTTCCATATCATAATGAAGACCTGAAAAAATTTCAGCTTGAAATGTGAGTGACCAACTAGTATAAACCTTCGCTGGTTATGCCAATTGTTGCGTGTCTAATTATCAACCAATATGTACATTATTTACATTACTTGGAACTAGAAAGTTATACACACCTCAACAGCTTCTCAATATTGCTAACATATACCTACTTTCCCCTCCCCACTCCCCATAGGCATTCTTCAGCCTGATCAATGACCAAAGTATCACTAGAAGCCGTAATGATATTTAATGTTGAAGGATTGCTAGGAACATATATTATAGATACTTTCTAAGAAGGTATCGAAGTGCATTTAAAACAGCATTTTGGGGATCATCTCAATACATCATGTACAACACTCATCAATAACTCTTCTTTTTGAAGATCGGTGACCTTCTGCGATAGACTTCTCGAAATTTTTTACCCGAAAATATAATTTATGAGGATTTTAATATTACTGTATAACAATTAAGTGTTGGGATAAAACTTCAGTAATATTCATTACTACACTAAAGTGTAAAGGATTTATATGTAAAGTGAATCGCCACTTTCTCACAGGCACCACTCCTAGAGCAGTATTCGTGTATCTTCATTGAAACAAAGAATATTACTAGTAGCGACAAAACCATTTCCTCTGCATCCCCAATACTTTGAAAATCATAATTTTGAGATTGCTCTGGTGATTACTTTTTCATATATATTACCATTTATCCTTTTCAGTTATGAAAACATCCTGTCAAAACCCCCTTTCTTCCTTTTTCCATCCAAATTGTCACCTCGCTCACCCAGCTTTTTTTATCACAATTAACAATATCAAACCAACAATAGGTACTCTAAATTTTTCTAAATAATTGGGTTTGAATACAAGTACGTGGTCACTTTTTCCACACTGAAGCATACACTAAAAAAAACTACTATATGAATATTAGTCGTTCTCATAACAGCATCTTTTTGAAGCTCAACAGGAAATTATTTAATCCTGGCGATCCTGATTATGAAATAATTGTACTTATTGTCACCGATTCTTGATAAGTGTACAAAGTTTAAAACAAAAATATTTTCGTCTAAAGTTATTCAAAAACGAGTCCTAAGGAGTCGGTTTCAAAGAAACATAGTGAAGTGAAGCTAATAAAAGCGCGTTTAAAATGTTACTTGGAATTAAAATAATTCTACTATAAGAATATTGTTTTA